AGCTGAAATTGTTTCCTGAATGAGATTCTGATATCGATTTCTTCGAAATTCTAGCAAAAGTGGCAAGAAAATGTTTAGTTCTGGAACATTATACAGGAAATCCGGATTTCCGAGAACCAGACGATTCCGGATAAACATTGCTGACAATGGTGCCAAAAGATTCAAAATCGGTCAAAATTGGCCACAGTAGCAAGCATTTCAATTTTGTGTGTACCCTTGTCGAGCTCCTAAAGGGTAAACAAATTTAGGACCTCCCCTTTCGAAGCCCCTTGCTGCAATATGAAATCGTTCTTCATGAAAAGTTGTCTCTCCATGAGTTCTAAGATGTCACTGAATTCAGGTTTCCTGTCTCGAAAATAAGTTTATAATTTCTTAACTTTGAAATCTTTAAAAGTACCCGGCTACCCTGTTGATCACATAACGGTTAAGGAGTAATATTTTCGTCACCCTGAAAAGGACGGTTTTGGTTTGATGCGCATGGTCGTCTGTCGAGCGGCAAGCAAATTATCCGACTTTTGGCTCTAGGTAAAAGTGTAGCCTTGATATTAGACGGATCTCCACTATATCATGACGCCACATATTACAGGTTCGTATGGGTTTGATGCACGGTTTCGGGTTGTTCGATCTTCGGTTGGGGAATTCTGAGCTCTGTAAGCACTTTCTCCACGGATAAGGTGAGCTAGTTTGATGTTCTTCGGCTTGACGATGATGAAGATGAAGAAGATGAAGATGGCCCACAGTGGTTCTTCTGACGATGTGCAACAGTAGGTACCCGAACAGTGGTGGTCTGGCTTCTTCACTACTTCTCTGGCTAGAGCGCTCTTGCAGGCAGCCTTAGTAGTAAGCTGCTTGCGGGGAGCCTGTCCACCGGTCCACATGTCGTGTGTTGGCTTTGGCTTGTTTCTTTTGGGACCAACTATGTGATGGCTGTGTTAGGAAAGACAGCTTGTGGTCTAAGCATATGTATGGGGAACTTAGAAGCTACCAATATTAGTTAAATTTCTGAGCTGTTTAACTATTTTCATTATTTGTAATATATGCCACAAAATTGCTGAATGAAGTCCCCGTCGAATGGAATATTACATGACATATTTCACATTAATACTTTGGAGAAGTATTTGTTCAAAACCTTACCACTTTTCGTTACATGTTCATTTTTCGTACTCGCAAAGTGTACCCCCATATAGGAAACAAAGACGTAGTTTTACGTCAAAATCTTCTGGTGAAACATTTCTGTACTAGTCGCAAAATGGCGAGAAAAGTCCCCTCATCGAAATTGTGTCTTTTCAATTCGGCATATTATTTTATATATGTGTTTTTTCGAGTAATCCGTTCTAGGGTTTCCAATTTTCCCGGGAATCGACGAAGCAGGAAATTAAAATAAAATTTCCTGGAAGTACCCGGAATCCAGGGAAAGAAAAATAAAATATTTAAAATGATAATCGAGGATAAAAATGAACTTTATTAATAAAAAAAAAAAGTAGAAGGGTCTGTGCCTAGGGGCACGTACGGAAGCTTGAGGTAGGACCGCTAGTGGATGGAACAAATATGTTGATCATTTAGTTCATAATTTTTTCCGTGTTGTGGCCGGTTGTTTTCAAAATTCTTAACTGTGCATCCCAAAGTTTATCACAAAAAATACTGAGTGCACTATTTTTTTAGGTTTGTATTTTAAAACTTTAAAGAGATACAAATTACCATTAAAAAATCAGGTTTCAGGATTTCAAGGTCTTTTGAAGATATTAATTCTTTAGAAAGCAAACATAAGTCATTCTTCAAGATTCTAAACAATGAACAAACTATTTGTAAACTTCAAATGAACTCAAAATATATTTATGACGATTCGCAATAAGATCATACTAAAATATTATACAGATTATTTTATAGATTTTTGTCAGCCAGAAACAGAATAAAAAGATTTTTTTACGGTGAACACACATATTGAATATGGAAATAATTTGGCAACACTGCGTCGTCTTGCTCGAAAGCAAATGACGAAGAAAACGATTTTGCAAGTGTCTTTATTATCGCTGTTTTTCTCCTACCTTCCTTTGATTGGTGAAATGGTGAGCGATCCACCGAGCATTGAGCTCGCTCATGAGAGCTTGCGCAATGTGTCGTTTGTTCGATTTGCGCTCTATCGTTCCGTCCGTGTTTGGGAGTATTCGTTACATGTCTGAGTTTTGATTTTTTTTTAATATGACCCCCAGTATAGAAATTAAAGACGTAGTCCTACGTCAAAAGGCATACAACACAATAGTGCTTACACTATGACAATCCGTTTGAAATACGACTTCAAAACACAAAGAACATTGAGGTGTTTGTCAAAAATGCGCGATCAGTTTTTGGTGCAAATACTTGCGGAAATGGAGAAGACACGTTCACTTTCCGTCCAAGTCCGCTTGATTGTCTTGATGTCATCAAACAGTCGCTTGAGATTCTGAGACAGCCGCCCGTTGAGTTCAAACAACGTTAGTTGTTTCTGCATTATTTTATTCATGTTCACAGATTCACTCGCTGGATTGTTGACGGTGAATTCTTGAATAGCTGATTCAAGTTCCTGTTCTATAGTAACTTCCAGTGGTTCCTGATGAAAATAGTTATCTTCACTGGTGTTGATTCCTCTGGGACTGGGACTGAGACTGTCTTGACTGGGTTGGTGGCTTCTTGCTTTATGAGCTTTAAAAGTTGTGTCCAGGTCAGAACTGGTAGCTCTGTGCTGGATGCCAGATTGTTACTATTCAAAAGATTTATTACGGCACAAGCTCTTTGTTCCGTCTCTCTACAATTCTATTGAGGAGCGCATCATACATATCCTTGGAAATTGGAGTGCCCAACTTTTCTAGCTTATTTAAAAAAAGCTCAGGCTTCCCTCAGCAGTCAAAAGATTTGCATCAAGGTAACCGAGAGCCTGGGCTGCAATGTATTAAGTAGATTGCGCATAATGTTAACATCCTGTTGTCAACGTCGTTTGTCAAAAATAGTCTTGGGCATGCTCTGAAAGCGCTTTTTTGATACATTACCATACATTAATAAATCGCTCGATCATGGCTTCGGTACTATACCTGCTTCAAAGTAACGCCAAAATTGCTGTTGTACAACCCTGATATGCATGACATCATAAATCATATTTTAATACAGGTATTTTTCAAAATTCTGGGTAAGAATTTACTCAACTGAGTGTTGTTTTCGATAGCCTTGTTGATATTGAGCTGTCAACTGCTAAGTGCTCAATTTACAGTGTACTAGTCACCTTTTGTGTCACTAGTGGCGCTAGTGTCGGGGAAAATCGTGTCTTGGGGATAATAGAAAAGTGAACCATATTGTAAATTTATAATATATGACTGTGGTCAGCAGAACCCTCATATTGTCAAATTGTTATTTGGGAACCATCCCAAAAGGGTTAAGGAAGAACCATCCTGAAAGGTGCTGTTCATTAACTACGTAGACAGTTTTTTTTTGGATTCTTGACGCCCCCCTCCCTCCCCCTGCGTAGACAATTGTCCATACAATATTTTTTTTTAATTTTTGGGGGCCGTGGAAAATTGCCAAACCCTCCCCCCTCAAAACTGTCAACGTAGTTTATGAACAGCTAAAAATGCCGTTCGGAGATTGGTTTATAAATTCATGAATATTGAAGCAAAATATTTATTGAGATCCTATTAATCGAGTAACCACACAGTTTTGACGTTAATCTAAGAACTATTGTTTTGGGTAGAATCACACTTGCGTCAATATTTCCTCACATCCTTCCATTCGATCAATCCATTTAACTCTTCTTTTGTAGAGCAAATCTCATCTTTCGAACTCACTTCAGTCTTTCCAACCCATCACCCACTGACGGTGACCGTTTGCTCATTCATGGCTTTATCTGAAGACCGATTCTCACTCTTACGAACAAACCGGCCAAACAACCGCCATCAGGGCGAAAACGAACCGCTCATCAACAACAGACAGAAAGGAGAACTAAAAAACTGATGTTTGCGGACCGCTTCGTTTCGGGAGGTGTTAAAGCAGTATAATTTTCTCAAACATCATAAAACTGTTTCTCCTATCATCATTATAGTTTTTGATAGAATCCATCCCATTTCCACACCCCGCTTCCGACCCGTCCTGTTCCGTTCTGTGAACATGGTCCAAAAAACAAAGGCGGAAACCCACGCCAGCCACTCGGACAGCCACTTGGACAGCAGCGTGCCTAGTCACGGTGGCGGCGGCGGCGGCGGCGGCGTGGTGTAAAATCATAATTGCCACGGTAAACAGTTCGGTAAACACGCACGAAAGAGGCGCAACTGAAAGGTGAGAAAATTTAATTAGAAACTGTGAAAGGGTTCACACTTCTTCGGCTGTTATCGGTCACAAAAGTCAGCCAAAAAGAAGAAGAAAGGTTTTGTCTTTACTTGACAAGGGCCCCCCCCCCCCCCTAGGGGGTAGGAATTTTCGGTGCTTTTCCCTGCACATTATTGGTATGAATGGTGGTGCGGTTTGGGTCGACTTTCCGCTTAATGAGATCCAAATAGAGAGATGAGCTAGTGAGTTCAAGCTTTGGGCTACCGAAAGGAATCGGTTTGCTGGCCGTTGTCGTTGTCGAGGGATGTGGCAAATTTGTTTGAAAGCAAATTTGAAACCATTCTCCGACTAATATCTTCTCTTGGATCAAAATCCTACGTCAGACTCAGGGTCCCTTCCGTAACAACAAATGCTGTTCGTAATTAATTTCCGCCCTCTCGACTGATCCCCGGTCCCAACGGACACCAGTGGACTTATCAAAAGCACCCACGCTGTGGGGGCGGCCCCGGCACAGCGGTTAACATCCATACCTCACACGCAAAAATCCCGAGTTCAAAGCTCATCCCCGGACTTGGCTTCATGAACTATGATAAAACAAAAACCCCAAGCTGTGCAGCAAGAACACAGAACTGAAAAGTCCTTCGATCTGCCGGTCACAAAAATTGAGCCATTCTCGACGTTAATTGTGCCTTTTTATCGCTCAATTACAGGAAGGCGTTTCGGATCCACCGAGTGTTTCGTCCATCAGCCGGCTGCTGCGAGGGGGAGGCAGTGCCCCAGACGGACGGAAGGACGACGACGGGCGGAAGGATTACAGCATCCACGGGATTTTGGGAGGTAAGTGCTTTTTGTTTAGCATTGCGCTAGGTCGTTGCTGGCTAATGGAATGAATTGGCCTTTCTGTTTTGTTTCAAGTTGGGGGAGATTTGGGTTTCCAGACCGGGCAAAATATTACGAGGTTGTGTCAACCGAAAAAATGAGAAGATGATTAATTACCTTGCCCAGTAGGAATGGTGGGGCCGGGTGGCTTTTCTTTTGTCGAGGTACTGCATATAGAAGATGGGAAGATTTGCGACAGTTTATTCGCCTACGTGATGAAAGGTTGAGCGAGTGAAAGCTGTGTCTATTATAGTCTCATCAACTGAGTATTACGTCATAAGCTCAAGTTTGAGATTATTATTGGAGGACCCATGCAAAGTCCATCGAGAAAATATAGAGAGGGAGGGGGTTGGGAAATATCTACGGTCCATGTAGATTAACAAAAATGCGTATGAACAACTCTGGGCATGAGGTGGGCATTGTTAAATCAATAGTTAAACAAACGATTTAGCTGTCATGGAAATCTTTAGAAAGAAGATTCAGGAAATACTCCTAGGAAATGGCTCTAATGTTGGTCTATGGATCAAATATTGGGCCCATCATTAGAAATCTGATATTTATCATTGTCCTTGGGACGGTACTAATGGATATTTTCGGCGTCCTTTTGAACACTTCCAAAGTTGTTAATTGATAGCTTTTTAAGCTTGTACCATTTTTTTAACTAGTTCGTTTATTTACAAGGCTCATTCGTGTGTGACACTTTGCGGAGCCAAAATCAGTAATGTTTGATTTACATTTTAAATAGCAGTATTTCTAGGTTAGTATTGGGTACCAATTAATCGTGGCGGGCTCGAGGTTATTGGGTAACAATTTCGATTGGAAGGATCTAGGTAGGAAACTGGTTTCTGAAGCCTCCTTCAGATACTACTCTCGGATGGTTAACCAAATTCTGGCTGGGCAGGGGCAAGTAGCACAGGAACAGGAGGATAATAAGACTGCGACACAATGGCGGGAAATTGTTTGGAAAGGAGGGGATAGTCACATCAAACTCTAACATCAGACAAACAAAGGAATTCGTAGATCGCTTGCATGTAGGGAAGATCACGTGTTCCCAATACATTTCTTACTTCACGGAAGGGTTGTCTACCTCGGGCCACAAGCTTGTACCATATTTGTATTAGTATAATTGTGTGGCAATTATTTAAGAAAAAAATATAATAAGAAATCGATACGATCCTGGCAATTCTTTAATAAGATGGTATTCGCAACTAATAACGACCGTATCGGCTCTCCCCTCGGCGCAGCATAAGAAAACGGCGATCGAGTTGTAGTTCGATAGGAGAGTCTAACGGCGAGAAGGAATGATTCAGCAGGAGAGTAAAACGATGAAGTGGACATCCTTCGAGATCTAGAGCAGCAGTAAATAATTTTATTAAATTCACCAGTATATTTATGTTAGAATAAACCGTAGTTAATGTCGTGTAATTGTTGATGGTTGTTGCTTGAACGATGGTTCATTTTAGACTAATGAAAATTTGCTAGGTTACATAGTTATATAAGCTCTTCAGTAAGTCAACTGCTACTACGATGTCATTTTTCTTCACCCCCTCTCAGTTGCTCATTTCTAATCCTAATTTACTGCGTAGATTCAGGAACGATGGAGCTGCCAGAAATTGTGTCAGCACGTCTGCTTCTTGTTATTGCGTCGGAACGTAGACCAACTGGATGAAATGGTACTTTACATCTATGTGCTTACCCTTTTCGTCTCTTCCTTCTGTGCCATCGCTATGGCTTCTTGGTTATCCTCGAATATTGGAACAGGATACAACAACTTGATTTGCGCCAGGTCACCCATTAATTAATTGATCCATATGGATTCACTGATGCAGCTACTCAAGGCGATATATTCAATAGATGACATCGCCGACGCGCCTCCGTACATACGAAGACTTTCAGTAGGAATTCTGAGACGCACTTCCGGTCCTTCTCGTCATTCGCGTAGTCGGTAGGGGCGTTATTCGGACTGCAAAGGTAAACCAACTCCAAATGCCTAGTACCCTGAACGTACCTCAGGACTTCTCTTCGCGTTTTTCCAGACTTGCTGTGTCTTGAAACCTCGAAAGTTATCCAACGATGAAGTACAAATCCGGTCGGATACCCATCATCAGGTACATTAGGCATTAGACTGATGCAAATTTTGACATTTTCGCTCCACAGTGCTCAAACGGTTCCAAATCGGGTCCTGATTAGTCTCCCAAAATTTGAACTCATTTGATAAGAAACTGACTTGGCACAAACCATTTGAAGTTTATATGGAAATTACTATAGGAAAACCAAATGTTTTGTTCATATCCATCTAACAATTTACCATATCGCTCTGCTTTAAAAAATGATAAGTGAGCTCGTAGAAAATTTTCTCAGCTACAATTTTGTCCTGAACCACATTTCAATATAATGTAATCATCAAAAGTTATCAATAATTCAAGCCACTAATGTCTTACGATTATGCTCAATCAACTGTTCAGCAGGCAACATTGGTGTTTCTGGCGCTTGGAATAGAGCACAAAAATCATGGCTACTATGCCACACTGCAAGATACAGTGTTGCTCACAAAACAGCTGCTTGATCATGCCATAAGATTATCAATCTCTTAAACAATTAATAACTATTTTATTTGACGTTTAACTCAACAACTATATTCTGCTAAGTTGAAGCTGAGAAAATTTTCCATAAGCATAGCTTTTGAATGTTTGAACAGTGCATTATGGAAAAAGGTAAGAAGACAATGAACAAAAAGTTTGGATTTCCCATAGTAATTTCCATATAAACTTCGAATGGTTTGTGCCAAGTCAGTTTCTTTTCGAATGAGTTCAAATTTCGGGAGACTAATCAGGACCCGATTAGGAACCGTTTGAGCACTGTGTAGCGAAAATGTCAAAATTTGCATCAGTCTATTAGGCATCCAATTAGCTCACAATAAAGATGCTCGCACCGCTCACCGCTTCGTTTCAACTGCAACCTGGTTTCAGCAGGAGTTTGACAATCGCGTCTGCGAAAGCTTCATGATTCCTTGTGCACGATCGTAGAATCTTGATTCCCAAGAAGTCGTGCAGCACGTTCATGTCAGCCATCTCAAATTCTTGTTTTAGCGTTTCCTTGATATCCAATATCGTTTGTATGCTCCGAGCTATGATAAACATATCAGTCAGTAATCGTACCGCGATCGGATGAAACCTTGATCTTGCAGAAACTCATTGAATCATGTGTTCCAACATCTCGATTTAACCCAGCAATGATCGCTTCATCAGATAAACTCTCCCAGGCTTGGCTCCATTCGGTTCCTGCATGTGTACCTCTTCCTCCAGTTTTCCGTTGGTGGATTTCCAGTCCTTTAATGTTCGCAATAGCCAGAACCGTTCGAATAGTGTGCAATTGACCGTGTACCGAACCGTGGGCTGCTTTGGCAACCTATCACCATGGAGCATCTCAACGACTTCGATTTGGCTGATGATGTTACTCTACTAGCACAACGGCGCTCTGATATGCAGAGTAAGCTCAATGACCTAGCCGAACGCTCCTCTGCGGCGGGTCTCACCATCAACGTCAACAAGACCAAATCGTTGGATATCAACACGGGCAACCCTTCCAACTTTACGGTAGCGGGGCAAGCAGTGGAGAAGGTCGAAATTTTCCAATATCTTGGCAGTCAAATAGCGTCGGACGGAGAGACCAAGAGCGACATAGGTGCACGAATCAAGAAGGCTAGGGCTGCCTTTGCGAGTTTACGAAACGTATGAAGATCCAACCAGATAAGTCAACGCACCAAAATCCGAATTTTCAACTCGAACGTGAAATCTGTGTTGTTATACGCCAGCGAGACGTGGTGTGTATCAGCGGAGAACACTCAAAAGCTGCAGGTCTTCATCAACCGATGCCTGCGGTATATAATTCGTGCCTGGTGGCCTCACAACTGGATCTCGAATGCCGAGCTCCATCGTCGATGTCATCAGAAGCCGATAGCAACAGAAATTCGAGAGCGAAAGTGGAGGTGGGTCGGCCACACACTTCGACGGGGCGGAAACGAAATCTGCAAGCAAACGCTGGATTGGAATCCAGCAGGACATCGCAGCAGAAGCAGACCCAGGGGCTCATGGCGGCGCAGCCTCAATAAGGAAATTAAGCAAGTCGATAGAAATCTGACCTGGGCCCAGGTCAAGGCAAAAGCGAGCAGCCGCCCAGGATGGAAGTCTTTCACGTTGGCCCTTTGCACCGCTGGTGGTGCACAGGACCCTTAAGTAAGTAAGTAAGTTCGAATAGTGTTCAGTTTGGCCACTGGAGCAAGCGTTTCCTCATAATCTATATTCTTCCGCTGCACACAGTCTTTCGCCACTATTTAGCATTGCATTGGTAACGGATTGGATTCCCATCAGCGTCCGTCTTCAACGTGAATACCCATTTGCATGGTACGGGTACAACCGATTCTGGTTGCTGCACCAAAATACTGATCTGGTTCTTCGCACTCAAATCCTCGCCTACTGCTTTGAGCCAGCACGATTTGGATGGTCAGCAATGTCTTTATAGGACACAGGCACCTGAGGAGAATGGTCTACAGCAGACAATACTCTATATGACGAAAAAAAATCTTTGAACCAACCTGGATTGCTGCACTCCTAACCACTATTCCTTGGAGTAGTCCCGCTTTGGAAGTTACCGCTTTAAAGTTGTGGTGTGGGTGCCGTGGCTCCTTCCTCTTGGTTGTCCTGATCATCGGATTCCTCAGTCAAAAATAAAGCATCTGCGAATTCCTCAGTGTCTGCATCAGGATTAACTTCAGGATTAACACCACCAGGAATCCTGGTGCAATTGCCGTAGTTTCTTCTTCCCACTCTTGCTATAGTGTTTGAGGAATCACTAACGGAATCTCCCGGTTAGCATTGGCTTCCACCTTCTGTGTTGATTTGAACGGAAATTCGATTTCATTGAACCGGACATCACGAACTGCTTTCTTGACATAAGAT